TAAAGAAGTTACATTTTGATTGGCAGATAAAGGTGGTGCCAGCTTTCTGGGGGAGACGTGTCTACCTAAATGTAGGTATGGGTGGGGATCTGTTAGCCTGAATCTTTATCTTGCTCCAGACTCTATTTGTTCATTTTGCATATGTGAGGGGAGGCAGGCAGCTAACCAAAGTCATTTTATGGGTTTTTCCTTTGGGTACTGTGGACCCCCTTCCTTTCTCCCTTCCAGGCCTTGGGATGAATATACAGTCTCAAGGTTTTTCTTTTTCCAGTTAATGGAGATGACACACACAGACTTTCAAGGGTTCCCCTCACCCCTCCTGCATTATCGTAGCTTGCTTATTCCAGATGCCTGGCATCCTTATCAGACCAGGGTCAGGATTACTGGGTCAACATGTGAGCTTTTCCTTTTAGCCTACCGTATTAAGTTCTTTGTTAGATTGTACTGATGAGAGCCCTGCCTTTATTTCCCCTTTGGCTGCTCATTCCACTGTAACATTATGTAACTGCTAAACCTAGAATTTTGTTTCTTCTTTTCTCCTTCCTTCCCAATTACATATTTAATTGAAATATAATTATTACAAGAAGGGAAAGTTTCTCCAATTATTTCACTATCACTTCTAGGTACCTAGTTACTTCATTTTAAATATTGTATTTATGCTCAGAGTAGTTTCTATCCAACCAAGAAAACACTTTTCATCTAAATCTTGCCAACTTTGATTGTGTAATCATTTGCATGCAACCTGCATAGAGGGATAAGTCAGAGTCAGGGGAAGGAGAGAGGAGGTAGAGGGAACAGGGTAATAGATGCTGTGTGGGTGGTATGCTCATTCTTACCCCAAGCATGCCCTAATGACCCTCCTCAGGAAATCATGAAGAGAAGTGTCTATAGTAGCTTTGCCCCAGGCCTTTCACATGATTTGGACTGAAGAGTTCTTCATGCAGCTCTTTCAGGATCCATGGAATGACTCCATTCTGCCAGGAGCCAGAGACTCTCTCAGAGGCTGATGCCTTTACCTCAATAAACTGGGTATGTGCAGCACCACCTTCAGCAATGATTTTTTGCATGATTAAAGATTTTTTTTTGTAGTATAACTTTTATGAATTCAGGACTACAGAAATGTTCATGTTCACCCCACCCCCATTTACTTCCTTCATTTTTCTTATTGGCTAACTTTTTATCAGTGTCCTAGTCAATAATGTATTTGAAAGTAGTGACTGTCATCGTTTCAGTACACGTTATATAAAAAGGACTTCTGACCAATTTGGATAGGCTTTCCTCCCTTTTCTTTTATTTCCAAATTGCTGACTTAAAGAAAACCCACTAATTTTTTGTAGTATGTTCATAGTGTTTCCTGGGTATTAATTCACTTGATATATCTTGTGAAGGAGGGACAAAACTTGTTACCCTTAATTAACTGAGAAGAAAATTGTCATATGGAACAGATATGTGACATCTCTGTTGCCAGAATCAACAGAACAGCCAACACTTTTGACCTGAACTTTATTGCTCTTTATGGGAAAAGCTGATCCCAAGGTCTCATTAACCTTCAGTAATATTTGTTTAATTCTGTATTGGATGCTTCACCTGTGTGGTAAGTAACAAGTCATGGTGAAAAGCACATAGGCCCGTTGCTAATGATCCAAATGCTAGGCATGGGATGGCAGAGTTAGGTTTGAAACTTTCTAACTGAACTTTGAGTAACTCTATCCCTCCTGGTCACAGACCACCCCTGATGGATGTGTTATAACTGCTATTAATCAATCTGTCCTTTTCCTCTGAAGGGAATGGCACTTTTTATGTCCTTCTATCCTATACTTTTTATTGATAGGTGCATGTGCCCTAAAGGGAAGGACAAGGAGTAGGATTAATGAAGCCCAGGAGTCAGTCATAATTATTTGCCTCAAAACATATATGGAGAGATCCAGCGGTATAGTGAGAATAAGAGCTTCCACAGACCCAGAGATGCCTATGAATGGAAGCTGACAGTAATTAAGATGAAGCATGAAGGGACATTTTTTTAGAGGCTAAAAGTAATTGCTAATCCATCCACAGACATTTCTCAAGGTCAAAGAGTCTCAGGTTCCTACTTAACATACGGTGTCCAAGATTCTGTGTTGAGTCTTCTCTGAGAAACTGATCTCTGGAGTGTCTATTCCACACTGAAAAACTCTCACCAGGTAATGGCTAGGCAGATGGGGAAGGACAGATGGAAAGCATCTTGCCCTTCTCCCCAGGCCCTACTTGCCCTTCTTTCCAGCCTCCCTGCTGTTGAAAGAACCTCTCAGGAAGTGGCACCACTCAGCAAGCTCCAGGTTTGGGAGTCAACTCATTAATCCTTATGATAACCCTGGAGGTAGGTAGGTGGCAAATACTATCTTTAGTTTGTAGACAGAAAACTGAGGTACAGAGAGGTTAAAGGAAGATAATAACACAGCTCCTACATGGCAAAAATAGAAAAGAAAATTCCTGGTCTCTTTGTGTTTTTGTTTTTTTCCAAAATAGTTTCATCTTTTTGGGGGGAAAACTAAGGGAAGATGTCAACTTCCATGGTGGTGGGATAGGCAGAGAGAGTGAAGCAGGATGCTGCTTCATCCAAGAAAATGCACTCACCCACAAACAAACTGTGACCCAGCAGAGGGGAGACCAGATCTCACAACTGCTTTTAAATAGCACCAGTTGTTTCCATATAGGACAATTTTCTTTTTCTTTTCCTTTTTGGATCAGGTCCTGGTTGAGACAGATACTTTATCTTTTATCCTGATAAAGATTGGACTGTTTTCAGGCTCTGAGTTTATGTTTTCTTAAAATTGGTCTATAAGAGCAAAATTGTAGGAACAATAGTGTAGCCATTGGGGGGTCAATGACACAATGTCTGGTTCTCAAGCCTGGGATTTTGTTACTTCTCTCACCATACAGAAGAAGGTATGGAATAGTGTTGGCTGCAAAGGGAAGATTCAAGCAGTAGCCAGAAAGTCTCATGTTTATAAGATAAATATCTCTTCTATTTGTCAGCCAATACATTCCTTTACTGAAGGTTGACCACTTTGGATGAACCTAGGTAAAATATATTTTAGGCTTTCTCTTTTAAAATGTAAATTTTCCCTGGAATAATTATCAAACAATCAGACCTTAGAATGAATTTCATTTTTTAGACCCTACAGCTTTATAATGGGCCACCAAGAAATGGCAATATTGTCATGGGGAAAGAATAGTTTCAGAGATGTCTCTGCTCCGGAATAATTATCTAAAAAAGAAGTTGGCAACCAGAGGGCAGTGCCAGGGATTTGCATATTTTAGGATGATGCTGTTTGTGGGGAAGATAGAATGAAGGAAACTTTTTGAGCCCCTTGCTGGTCCGTCCAGATCCCTGCCATGTCACCTTGGTTTCTATCCCTCCTACCTTAGCCTTGGCACTGCAGTCCATGAGCATAACTTTGGTTTAGATGAACCATCTTGATGACCACTGACTTTCTCCCTCTGCTCTGAGCATTGGTTGGTTGTAGGTAAAATTGGTCCATGTGTAAAATATTTACTTGTACCTGAGGATTTCCCCTGATTGAACTCTATGTTTGAGGATTATTGGTTGTGGGGATGAAGCATTGGAGAACTTCAATAAGAGCCCTCTTGTTTCCTTCAGTCTCTACATCCTTTTCAGGGTTGAAGCCTGGCCTGGAACTGAACTTGGGGTTCTGGCTGGTAGGACTTACCACTTGTAGGAGACTGTTCCTAGTGCCACTTTGATGGGCTTTTTCTTACACAATTGGTGCCTGAGAGCTTACTCTCTTTAAAGCAGGTGTGTGAGTATGTATCCTTTGGCTTGCTGTCTGTTCTGATGAGAAGAGGTATATATTTAGAGGAGAAGAAAGAAAAGGACCTTCTTTGCATCAGGGAAGAACATTACTACCAGGCCTCAAAGCCTTTTTAGTCTATAAGGAAAGGGTTTAGGATCTTGCTTTCTTTGATGGTTCCCAGGGTAGATTTCCAGCAATACAAGGATGTAACTGTATCTGAACCCAATGGCTACAGTGATTCAAAAGAAAGGACAGTGAGAACTCTGGGTATCTCTTGGACTGATGATTTCAAATGAACACTCCAAAATGGTGCAAAGAGGTTCAGAAATTACAGAAAGAAGTCAAAACTATAAATAATATGACCAATACCATAGGAAAGCTGGGCTCACCAGTATAAGCTGACCTTGCAAGTTGGTACCACACAGGTTCAATTTGGCTTACACATTTTTATTTAGTTGACACTAAATTTAGTTGACGCTTATTTTTAGTTAAAAGTATTGGAAATTTCATTTAAATCAACATTTAATTTTGTATTTCTAGCTTCTCTTGAAAAAAATCAGATGGCCTGGTAATACTGCTTGGAATGGAGCAGCAGCCCTCTGCGCTCCAATTGTCACAGCCTTAGCTCTCCCATGGCATTAGAATAGGGCCACCTCACCAGTCAAAATCACCTGCCTGTATTCTGTAGGCATTTGCATTTGGGACCCCTGATATAGGGTCATATGGTGTCTGCTAGGGAAAGACTGGGGTGACAAAGTCTGATTGAGTTAGTAAGCTTGAGACAATACTAGTAATAGGCTATGAGGCTATCACAGCTCTAATCAGAAGGATTTCTATGGAGAAATGGGGTACAAAGCAGAGTCCCATAGCTGCTGAGGTAGAGGAGGGAGACAGTCATATGAGACTGAAAACTTTGATGGGACAATATATTTATATTGGTAGCTCTTATAAATGGGAAAGACAGTTTCCTAATTGTATAGCATTCACTGTGCCACTGCATGCCTGTGTGTGAGGGGATGGACAGCAGACTCAAATCATATTGTCATCTTTTCCTTTCATCTTGCCCTATGGGTTAGCTCAGGTCTTTTCTTTTTCTTTTCTTTTCTTTTCTTTTCTTTTCTTTTCTTTTCTTTTCTTTTCTTTTCTTTTCTTTTCTTTCCTCCCTCTCTCTCTCTCTCTCTCTCTTCTCCCCCCCCTCCCACCACTTCATACTGTTAGATCATCTGATCTGGCCCGGCTGCTGTTTTTGCTCAGTCTGCTTAGGGGTCTGGTATCATCCCCAGTCACCTCTGGGCACAGGGAAGGTGCCTTCTCAGTGGGCAGGCTTTGCTTTGACACCTTCTCAGCCAACAGCTCTTGTTCCTCACCCTCCTTCCTCACTCTGGGAGTCTCTACTGCCCCTGGCTCCAACACTGCTGCAGTCCCCTGCCCTCCTGTGCTCACTCTCTCTGCTTCCTGCCTCTTCTCAACCACCTTGGGTTCTGCTCTTTCCTCTACTGGTTGCTCGATCCCCTCAACTTCCTGTCCTCCCACCTGAGCATAGGAAGGCAGTGTCTCTTGGTAAGCCACAGACAAGTCCCCTAGAGGCCCTGTGCCCATCTGCTCCTCAAACTGACTGAAAGGCTTGGCAGAAAGTGGGCTGGTCTCCACCGTGCCCACCTCAGTCAAAGGAAAATAGTGGGACACTATTTTCTCTTCTTCGAGGAGCTGGTAGCCCTTGGCTTTCTGGATGGAGGAGACAGTGATGGAGTGGAGGGACTTCTCTGGAATATCCCCCAGTGGCTGCTCTATGGACCTCTTAAAGGCAGACTGGATCCTCTTCAGGCCTAGGTGGCTAATCTCCAGAACATTGAGGAAGAGGGACACAGAGGCCACAGACAACATGAACAGGATGAAGACGGTTTTCTCCGTGGGCCGTGACACAAAGCAGTCCACCACGTTGGGGCAGGGCCACCGGCTGCAGCGATAGAGGGGCAGGATCCGGAACCCGTACAGGAAGTAGTGGCCTACTATGAAGCCCACCTCAAAAAGGGTCTTGAAGATGATGTGGCAGATGTAGGTCCTCAGCAAGGTGCCCTCCAGCCTGAACTTGGTGCCTTTGCTGCTGCTGCTGCTCTTCCTGATACTGCTCTGGTCAGGGGGGAGTGGTCCCCTCTCGCCACAGTTGCCTGCTGCCTGTTGGCACAGCTCCTCTGCCTCGCGCTCCTTGCGCTTCTCTTCCCTGCGCACGTGGTGCATGGCGTGGCCCACGTACACCAATGATGGTGTGGAGACGAAGATAATCTGTAGTACCCATAGGCGGATATGGGAGATGGGGAAGGCCTCATCGTAGCAGACGTTCTCGCAGCCTGGCTGCTGGGTGTTGCACACAAAGTCGGACTGCTCATCCCCCCACACAAACTCAGCAGCTGTGCCAAGGATAAGGATCCGGAAGATAAAAAGCACAGTGAGCCAGACTCGGCCAATGACTGTGGAGTGCTCATTCACCTCTTCCAAGATGTTCCCCAGGAAACTCCAGTCGCCCATTTCTCAACCACCTGGAGGAGGGAAAGACAAAAGCTGAGGGGCTGCAGTGCAACCCGGAGTCAGTCTCTGCTAACCCTTGGGCTACCTCTCCTTTTTGAGTTGCTGGAACAATCCACATGTAAATAGCATCTATTGAGTGCTTTCTCTGTGCAGACTAGGACTAGGGGACAAAAGAAACATTAAAAATCCACTTCCGTTAACTCCCTTATCTTTAAATTAGGTTTAATGGTAATACCTGTTCTCATTCACTTTACAAGCCATCTAAAAGGATAAATATGTATATAATTACCTGAACTCCACACAAAATATGGATGCATTGTGGATCATAAATAGAAATCCATGGTTACATGGAATTAGATCAAATCATAGGCAGAACTAAGGTTCATGAGGCATAATAATGAACTTCATATTCCATGAGTATCTGGGTGCCTTGTAAAATTGTACCTATGAAATTGTCAGTTGTTATCTTACTTTTGACTATGTTGAGCTATATAATGATCATATGTTTGAAGGGAAGTGAAAGGAAACTGATATTTATTGAATATGTGATTTGTGATAGACCTTTGACATTATATTATTTCATTTAACTTGATTCTGATAGACTGTACTCTTCATGAGGATATGGCCCACACCTGCTTTATTTATACCTATATACTCAATGTTTGTCACAGAGCCCAGCAAATAATGATAGCTTGATAAGTGTTTGTTAACAAACTTGATTCCAATAAAGGAGAAAACTGATGCTCAGAGAGGTTAAATAAATTTTCTATGATGAACTAATTAGCAGCAGTTCTGTCTGATTCCAAAGGTTGGGTCCTTTTCATTACACCACTGAGATACACTGTCTGAGATCAGACCTACACAGTTCTCTGACTCCCATATTCTTGATTTATGTTTTCTTTTCTTCAAGTTGAAATCTGGACACCCTTCTTAATAGCTTTACAAATTGGGAGCAGCTTTTTAAAATCATTTTTACTGCTCTTTTAAACCTAAGGAATGGAGAGAGTGCTTTGAGAAGGAATTGTATTTTTGAGTGAGGAAGGTCTACTAGGACATTTTTAGTGTCCTACAGAATGAAGGTTGCTAGGGTTTGTAATATGTGGTTATTTTAAAAGAGCTAAAAATTGATCTGTAAAAACAAAAAAAATCCAACAACCATTAAATAAGGTAATATATAATGCTTTAGCAACAGCAATGACTAATGTAAATGGGGTTGAAGTGACAGGGGTGATGGATACAAACTGGGACATTCATTCAGTGCAAGCCTGTTGTGAAAGCTGGTAACCTATGAAGGACTATGACCAAAACTTCCACCTCATTCTAGGACAGATGTTCTTCCAACTTGGACATTGCTAGTGTTGTGGCATTTACTTGTCACTGTCCTTCTGAGAGATGCTGTTCTGGGCTTCTTCCAGCTATATCCTACCCTATAGGATCAGAAGTTACATGGGACCAAAGGAATATGCCTACTGCTTTTAATGACAGTGATATTTGTTAAACCCATGAATGGGTGATGAAAAGTGGTTTCTTAAATTAGGTGTGATTTTCATCTTTAGGAGAGGAAAAACAAAATGGCATCTTAAAGACTCCTTCCAACCTGAGGTTTGGAGCTTGACTAGACAGTACTTGATTGCGAATACTGATTGCAGGCATGAGCAATGCCCAGCCTGTGCTCTCAGGGTATTCAAAACAGCTATCTGCTTCTTGCTGGAGGGCAGAGAACATTGCTCTCCTTGGAGTCCCAGAAACTCTCAATTAGGTGAGGCATTCAAGAGCAGTTTCTTTCCTCCTCAGAAGATGAGAACAGCTGTGGCATTCCCAGTCATGACTGGCATTGGGAGGAGTTCCTTGTAGGAGTGGAGAATTGAGGGTGATAGAATCAGAACCAGCAGTTCAGAATCTCAGTTGCATGTATCTAGTTATACTTCTGCTGATAACACTCCTCAAAATACAGTTAGATCTAGTGCTTGCCCTGTAAAGAGTGGTAGTCATTCCACATTGTTTTTTCCTCCTCAAAAGTGGGAAACATCACAATCAGATAAGCAGCCCAAGCATAAATCCAATTGGTGGCAGAGAAAAAAAAAGAATTAAAATTTCTTATTAGTTAATTCTAACATGTTAAAATAACAACTAGTATTTTACTCTTACAGGATCAAGTCTGGCATTAATGTACTCTAAATCTAGTTTTGCTAATGTCTTATCCCCATTGATATATCAACTCAGTTTTGAAATCTTACTTATATTGTATGTACCATACTAGTCCTTTAGGATTTCTGTGGATATTTCACTCATGTACCCACATAAATGTGTATTGCAAGCCCATGCTCTCAGGACTATATGTCTATAGTCTTGTCTTTCCCCTTTAGGACAAAAGCTCTCAAGGACAGGTACAATTTTGTCTTCATCTTCCATGAAGCATCATGATACAGAACAAAGCCATCACAGTGTGGGAGCTCCATAGACACCAGTGGGTGGGACCAATAGTTATTGTCTGAAATCTGAAATTCTCAATCCCTCAGTGCATGTAATACCAGTATTACTTAGAGTCTAGAGAACTTGAGCCCTCTTTGCTGTAGGTAGCAGTGGGGAGGTTGAGGACTTGCAAAGAAATGGCAACTACTAAACAAGGATAGTAAATTGATCCAAAACTTTTTTTGAGACACTGTTTGTATAAGATCAAATATGAGTGTCATGACATGTGTTCATGCACATGAAGACCATCCTGACTACCCTATTTTTAATTTCCAGACTCTAGAAAGACAAGCAGTCTCTTCTATACCCTACCCTGCATTGCTAGCATTGTTTGAATGTTTTTTAAGTGTAGTTATTGTCGGGAGCCGACCAACAGCTGACCTTTGACACATCTGCACAGCAGAGGCGACTGTGGCCAGATCTCCTGTCTATCTCCTCCTGTATGCCTGTCTCTGCTGGCAATAGGTGGTGGGATTTTTGGATACCTGTGCATTATAACAAAAAATCTGCATGATGCCTCTGATTATGTGAGAAATGACTTGCTGACCACAGAATAGAGACCCCTAGCAACCCTAATGTTGCTTGCTTCCCCCACCTGGGAAGTTAAGGACAAAATTAAACTATGGGCAGACCAACTGCCAAAATGCTGAAGGAAACTGTTGCTAGGAACGTTGCTTAAGGAGTCACCACTCAAAAGCTTAAGATTTATTAGAGCCACTACCCCTCCCATACCCTGGGCAGGAGTGTAAAGAAGCAAGGAGTTCTAGTTGAGAATAGTAATCTCAATACATGGAGACAAACACAAAACATGGCCCCCCCAAAGATGTATAAATCAAAAAACCTAGGCAAAAAAAAACAGTTACCTAACTGAGATAAATTTAACCTTGATGGATAAGAGTTGATTTCTATATATCTATAAATCACCCCTTGCACCCTTTTAATTTAGATCAATTCCTAGAATTTTAATAGATACCTAGTTACTAATTGGCACCTGAAAGTTTGTGCCTGTATAGCTTCATTGGCTATCTGATTAATGACCCTCTTGGTCAAAATAACCTTTGTTTAATATGGTTGATCTGTGGGACCTTCTGTACTTTTCAGTTATTTCTTTGTTTAACGTGATTGATTTGTAAAACCTTCTGTGTTTTTTAAAATTATTTCCATGGTAATCATTTCTGTTTTAATAATCACACTATGCATTGAATGTTGTATAACCTCCCCTGCAAAAATAAAGATTGATTTTTCTCGGTGAGTCAGTCAGGCCCAAAAAGCCTGGCTGTCCTCCGGCACCCCACTGGGTGTCTCACTTCAGTCTCTTTGCCTTAGCCGTGCATCCTTCGGGGACCCTAAGACCCCACTGAGGCTGGACCCCGGCAAGTTATAACATTTCTTGTAACAATGAAAGAACAGAAACTGTAACTTAGGACAAAGGTTTTTCAATTCCATGACATTGAAACAAGCCAACTGTGCTGATAAGGAGAGAAGACTTAGAGGTGCTAAGGGAAAGTGCCTCAAGTTCCTGATGTCTAACAATTAAATTTACACTTCATTTCCTGGCTGGTGTGGCTCAGTGGATTGAGTGTTGACCTATGAACCAAAGGGTTGCCATTTCAATTCCCAGTCAGGGCACATGCTTGGGTTGTGGGCCAGGTCACTGGTAGGGGGCACTTGAGGGGCAACCACACACTGATGTTTCTCTTCCTACTTTTCTCCCTCCCTTCCCCTCTCTCTAAAACTAAACTTAAAAATCTTTTTTTTAAAGTATAAATAAATAAATTTATACTTCAAGGAAATCAGAGCAAACTGTTTCACTGAAGTAGTGAGAAATCTAAACCAAAGGAAGAATATTTCTCTTCTTTTCTTAAAGATACAATTCTCTGTTTTCTTTTGCTTGTGAAAATTCAGTGAACAGATTACAAATGGAAACTAAACAGTGGAGTTCAAGTTTCCACCCCCAGGGTGTCCACCAAAACATCCCACCATCAGGTCCTGGTTTTAGGTAATAATTAAAATAACACCTTAGGTTTGGGTAGCCCTTATCTATTTATAAATTATATGCTTTCATGTGTCTTATTTCAATCCCATTAACATCCTGTGAACTAAGTCAGTGGTTCTCACACTTGGATTTCATAGACTAGTACAATAACAACAACAACAAAATAGGGTGACCAATAGCATGACATCTGATCAGAAGTCAGAAGTCAGGGCTACTGACTTCTTATTTTGCTAAACAGATACTTAAAAATAAGAAACTTATTGAATCACTAACTATGACTACAGTCCATCTTCACCATCATTTCATAAAAGAGGACTTTTAATACCACAAAACTAGAAAAGACATAATTTCAGAATGAAAGATGGGCCTTTAAATCAAACACATTTAACTTGATGAAAAATTTACTATGTTGTTTACTACATCATTCTCACATTTTTATCATAGGCTGATGAAAAATTCATTTGGACCAGAACTGACAGGTCTGCAGGTGTGTTAGAGAGCTAGTGAATTAGGGATTACCAATCCCCATTACCAGGTGGAACACAAGCTAGGAGGTAAAGTAAGATGACTCAGCTGGTGAGGATAGAGGTGGGATGCAGGTCCTGGCTCTCCAGCAACAAACCTAGGGCAATTTCAGGTATAGCACAGATTTCTCCTGGTGTTGAAGAGGCAGAACAACACACACATCTGTGTTAACAAGCTCCCCAAGGATTAGATGGTCACTTACCATTCCAGTTGACAAGGGATGGTAAATGTGCCTCCTTTCATGTTGCTGGAGTAGCTACTTAGCCAGCAGCTCCCACAGAGAGACAACAGAACCTACTCCCAGGAAGTTTTGCAGTTCTTAGCCAGACCCATTCCTGTGATCCATGAAATATTCCATTGAAAATTCTAAGCATTAAGCCTCTCCTACACCCACAACACTCAATAGTTATTACTATTACTCCCATTGCAGATTTTGAATGAAAAAGTACAAAACTGGACTTCTGGCCAAAACGGAGGGATAGACACACTGTGCCTCCTCACACAACCAAAAGAAGGACAACAACAATTTAAAAACAAAAAACAACCAGAACTGATAGAAAACTGAACTGTATGGAAGTCTGATAACCAAGGAGTTAAAGAAGAAATATCCATCCAGACTGGTAGGAGGGACAGAGACAGGCAGCTGGGTGGAGAGGACTCAGGGCAAAGCAGTGTTGGAGGACCGGAATGGGTAAGGTGGTGCCTGGTGGACCCAGTGAGCAAAGCGGTGGATTGTGAAGCAGGGCAGGCAAGGCACCAGCTGGCAGACTGGGAAGGCGGCAGCTGGTGGAGCAGGCAGTCCCACATTCATGTGTGGATAAACCAGGAGGACCACCTGGGGAGTGAGACAGACCTCACAACTCTGGGTTTCAGCTCAGGGAAATAAAGTCTCAAACCACTGATTGAAAACACCTGTGGAGGTTGAGACGTCAGTGGGAGAAACTTCCAGCCTCACAGGAGAGTTTGTTGCAGAGACCCCCAGGGTCCTAGAACATACACAAGCCAACCCACGTGGGAATCAGCACCAGAAGGGCCAACTTTCCTTGTGGGTAGTGGGGGAAGTGACTGACTGAAATTCGGCAGAGAGTGGAGCAAGTGCCCTTGTTCCCTCTCAACCTCTTCCCCACATAACAGTGTCACAAAGCAGTGATGTAGGTTGCCCGCCCTGGTGAATAGCTAAGGCTCTGCCCCTCATATGTAACAGGCACATCAATACAAAAAAAATGGCCCAAATGAAAGAACAGATCGAAGCTCCAGAAAAAATACAACTAAACGATGAAGACAAAGCCAACCTATCAGATGCACAGTTCAAAACACTGGTATTCAGGATGCTCACAGGATTGGTTGAATTTGGTTGCAAATTAGATTAAAAAATAAAGGCAATGCTAAGTGACATAAAGGAAAATGTACAGGGAACCAACAGTGATGAAAAGGAAACTGGGACTCTAATCAATGGTGTGGACCAGAAGGAAGAAAGAAATATTCAAGCAGAAAAGAATGAAGAAATAAGAATTCAAAAAAAATGAAGAGAGGCTTAGGAACCTCCAGGACATCTTTCAGTGTTCCAACATCTGAATTATAGGGGTGCCAGATGGAGAAGAGGAAGAGCAACAAATTGAACATTTATTTGAACAAATAATGAGGAAGAACATCCCCAATCTGGCAAAGGAAATAGACTTCCAGGAAGTCCAGGAAGCTGAGAGAGTCCCAAAGAAATGGGACCCAAAGAGGAACACACCAAGGCACATCATAATTACACTATCCAAGATTAAAAATAAGGAGAGAATCTTAGAAGCAGCAAGAGAAAAGAAGATAGGTACCTACAAAGGAGTTCCCATCAGACTGTCAGCTAATTTCTCAAGAGACCTTACAATCAAGAAGGGGCTGGAAGGAAGTATTCCAAGTCATGAAAGGCAAGGACCTACATCCAAGATGGCTCTATTCAGCAAAGCTTTCATTTAGAATGGAAGGGCAGATAAAGTACTTCTCAGATAAGGTCAAGTTAAAGGAGTTCACTATCACCAAGCCCTTATATGAAACGTTAAAGGGACTTATCTAAGAAAAAGAAGATAAAAATATGAACAGTAAAATGACAAAAATTCGCAGTTATTAACAACCACACCTAAAACAAAAACAAAAGCAAACTAAGAAACAACTAGAACAGGAACAGAACCACAGAAATGGAGATCACCTGGAGGGGTATCATCAGAGAAGGGGGAGAATGGTAGAAAAGGTACAGGGAATAAGAAGCATAAATGGTAGGTACAAAATAGACGGGGAGGTTAAGAATAGTATAAGAAATGAAGAGCTTACATGTATGACTGATGGACATGAACTGAAGTGGGGGAGTGTGGGTGGGATGGGGTGTGCAGAGTGGAGGAGAATAAAGCAGGGGAATGGGACAACTGTAATAGCATAATTAATATTAAAAAAAGTACAAAACTGTTCCATAAATATCAAATACTTCATTTAGGTCCCTCTGGATTCCTGGGGGCATGTTAATTCATTCTGAAAAGTGAAAAGACCTCAGAAAGTCAAGTTGTAGTTAAAATATGGACATTTCTTACCCCCCTACCTCATCCTACCTTCCTTTCCCTTCCACACCTCTGCCAACTCTTCTGCTAGTTCTGAGAGGGTTTTCAGAACTGAAGTCCAGACATCTCAATGCAAGACTGAACTTTAGTGGCAAGGTTTTTCCTTTTGGAGAAGTCCATAAATGGCCCTTCAATTAGTTTTGGAAAGAAGTGGGGTTGGAGGTAGGGGGAATAGGGAGGCTACAAACTAATATCACCCAAAGAAAACTTGCCAATAGTAGAGTCCCCCGAAGAAATATGTGCTCTCTTTCTCCTTTGGTGCTCAGTAGCAAAATGACAACTTCAGCCTCTTTCCTTTGGTGCCTAAAAGCCCACTTGCCACTTCTCCACCCCACCCCTACTGTGCTACATGACTGAGCAGATATGACTGGATTGGCTCTGATGGATAGGTTTTACTGTCCAGCAATATTTTAAGCTCCCAGCCAGACAGCTTTTATGAAGGGACGGATGTTTGGAAAACAATAGGAGAGAGAGAATGGGAGAGCTATGTTGGGCACTGAGAGGAGGATGGCAGGGTAAGCTAATGTCAAAAAGCTTAGACGGGGCTTTTGCAGCCTCCAAAAGCTTCTTTTAGTAGAAGACAGCCCCTTTATAACAGGAAGGCTTCTCTCTAGGGTCTTGAGTCCAGGGGTATTTTCTCAATGTCTCACCATTAGCTTAGGGAATCTTAGGGGTATAGGGATAGTAAGACGTTACCTGTGTGCATTCCTTTGCTCTGAATCAGACTGTGCCAAAACCAACCCAGAGAGAGGCCAGTTTTTGTAAAAAGATGATATTTCATCCTCCATTAGTTGTTTGTTCTTGCATCTCATAAATTTTGGCAGGGCATTCTCCCTCTTTGAAAAGGGGCCTCACTACTCCAAAGAATTATGGCACTGTTTGTCAAGGTAATATTTCCCACCTTGTTTCATTCATAATTACGAATACTTTTGATGGAATTCTGCACCACCAGCTATTAGTTTTAGACTTTAGCTACTCCATCTGTGAAATGTGGGTATGAGTTTTTGCTCACTGAGAGGCTCTCATATGACATACTGGTGTGGCTTAATGAGAAATGATGCTGTCTGCCTCTGAGGTCCACTCCCTTCTGTGTGACTATTGCAGTGGTACCAGAAGTAGTTTTGACCACATTTTAAGAACTGAAAATTAGAACATTTTTTTCTACAAGTTTATTTGTGGAACCAATGGAGCAAGAAATAGTTGAAATTCAGATTGCTTAAGGAAATCTGCAATATATGACTATGAAATTGAAGGCAACTTTATGTGTTAGTAAAAAAAAATTGTGTCCACTCTCTCTCCCCCAATTTCTTGTTCTTTCTGGTGTCATGGGCATATTGTATTTTGATGGTGGCAATTTGAAGAAGGATGGCACCGATATAGACCTGGTCTCAAATTTCATTTTTATTGAAATGTTCAGTACCCCAGTTTTATTTACTTTAGAATTTGAATTTCTTTTGAACTTCCAAGTTTCAGGATCCTCATTGACTGGGACAATGCCCTCTAGGGAATCCCTCAGTTAAAAACAAATGGTAAGACTGTTCCTCACTATCAGTGAGATAAGAAGTCGCAGAGGAGAAGAAAGAAATGCGATCATTCTTTTGAGAATGTCCAGTACTGTAAATGTCAATTCCTAAAGCTTATGCTTTCCCTGAGACATTCTAGAATGTATAAAGCTTCTATTCAAAGTGAACTACTCCCATCCAAGGCTTTCTAGTCCAACTTGGCTAGTGTGGTTGGCAGCCTCATCTCCTGACACTATAGTGTAAGTACAAGTTTGAGTACAAACTTGTACTCAAGTAGAGTGAGTAGAAGAGTACAAGTTTGAGTCTGGAAAAACAGGAATGTCAACAGAGCTCTGAACCAATGATGGTCTCTCTCTCAGGCTTGGTTGTATCTAGCTTTCTAATTTAGCATTTTCTTTTCTCATTTACTCCCCTGACAGTGAAGGCACTCTACTAGTAATGGCCAAATGATTGAATTATTTGTATTGTAAGTTTTTCTGTTTGCAGCCGGAAAGTCCTTAAAAACAGAAACACTTGATTCCATACCTCTTGAGAAATGCTTTTTAAAGAGATGGGGAGAGAGGCTTAGCTATTGCTGAGACATGAGTTGCCTCTTCCTACCAGGAATCAGAGTCAGTTGCTCAGGTTTTTCAGAGGATGCCCTCTTATGGTGGCCCCACTGTTCCATTTGATGTAAAGAAATCTCCAGAGTCTAGAACATGAGATTCACCACATTTAAATGCAAATCCAATTCCATATTTGTAATAATATAAAACAGGATATTAAATTATTGACATTTTGAATAATGTAATGGTGGCCTTCTTTTTCTAGGGTATGTTTTGGAAACAATGGAGTAGTTATGTGTGCAAAGATAAGACCTGGCTCTGGGTGTGGCTCTTTTGCTTCCTTTTGTGGGCAGCTTGTTCAGCCTCTCTGAGTCTCAGTTTTCTCACCTTAAAACAGAGATAATAATAACTGTCCTTCCTGTTTTGTGGAAAAGACTTTTGATAACAGTAATGACTATTGATCTAACCTATGCAATGCTGTGTATCCCTGTCACTCATTGGTTTGGTTTGCTGTGATCTCTTCCCCACTGAATGTGGCTGTGTCCTATGCTGCAGGGTCAGGAGTTGGTTTGTTTCTAAGTGTGGCTTCACCAGGGTCATACATTTCCCCTTTCTAGAGAGAAAACGCCAGAACTGAGAAAGACCAGAAGAAACCATTGGCCCCAATCCCTCATTTTATAAATGAGGAAACTGAAAGTCAGTGAAAATGACTCCCTGAAGTAATGGCACAGCTCTGAGGCCCAGCTGTATTATATAGTAGGTTAGAAGGGGGTAAGCTCTAACAAAAATGAGAAGTGTGGCAGATGTAGGAAGGTGGTGTTCATGCAGACCTCCCTGAGAAGGTAAGGTTTGGGAAGACTTTAAAGAAGGTGAGGGAGGGAGCCGTGAAGGTAAGCAGGGAGGAACAATGCAGGACAAAGACTCTCAGCAGCCAGAAGATCAGCAGGGCTGAAATAGAGTTGTAGAGGACAAAAATGGTTGTGAAATGTAAGTTTTGTCTCTCTCTTTTAAAAAAAGATTTTATTTATTTATTTTTAGAGAGAGGGAAAGGGAGGGAGAGAGAGAGGGAGAGAAACATCAATGTGTGGTTGCCTCTCGTGCGCCTCCGTGTCCCCCCCAGGCATGTGCCCTGACTGGGAATTGAACTGGCGACCCTTTGGTCCACAGGCTGGCACTCAATCCACTGAGCTACAACAAACAGGGCATAATTTTTGTCTCTTGTTTGTCCAATTATGATTTATTCTCTTGCATGTTTTTAAAACTGCAACAACACCAACAAATGAAATATTACCCAAAATCTGATGTGCAAATTTGCTGTTCCCATCTACCATAGACTTTTGCTGAGACTGTGTGCCTGACACTGCTGGGAGCAGAGATGGACAAGGCACAGGACCCATTGTGATGTCTGGCACATGGAGTGTACAAAGAGGCCTCATATACATGTGCTCAAGGAGAGGGGCGATGGTGGGGACTCTAGTCTCCCAGCCCTGAACCCCATGATCTGGCCTTGGGGCTGGGTCTCCATCTTGTAGGAAACTGAACATGGAAGTGGTTAATGCCAGCTGACTGATTTTGCCTAAGTGACTTTGCTTGACCTCATTTTTCTTTTGTGAAAAATAGGAATCAGTTGTAGTGATGAAATAAGATGATGTGTATAAAATTGAGTTTAGTACTTGGCACATAGTAAGCACTTGATAAATACTGTGTTACCAATATTAGAAAGAAGATTTGGATACTATTGGAGAAAGATCAAGGGTTCTTTGCTTTACCAGTGTAAGGATCAATACCGGTTTTTTCTTGTTTATGCTTCGTGGAGAGGGCCAGGAGGTGAGCAGTGGCTCTCTCTGTTCCTTTTCCCTGGCTGATTTGGTTGTGAGACAAGAGATTCTTCATTACAGCCTTTTGGCTGATGTTCAAGAGCTCCTGTGCCCTGAGGGGCAAAAGGTGGACTACAGGGAGGAAAGAGGGACACTTTTACTAGGTGGAGGATTTCCCACAGAGAGGAGTTATCAGGACAAAGCTGGGCTCTCTATTGAAATAAACAGCTCATGCATGAGAGCAGATTGAGCCAATTCTATAGAGCACAACCCCTGAGCCTGAGCTTCTCCTGCTAACAAAGTTATCTTTCCCAATCTGCTTAGACAGAAGGGAGACACACTTCCTTCCTTGTGCTGAGCACACAGAGCCAGCAGGATCCAGGCCTGGGCTGGATTGACTCTCAGCAGTCCCTCAACACCTCCCCTGTCTCTGCTAAAAGTCCTGGGTTCCCCTCAGCTGTTCCATGACCTTGAAGAGAGAGAAGCACAGCCTGCAGAAGTTGGCATTGATCAGGAGTGAGACAATGGTGCCTCAGGAGGTATAGAGAGAACATTCCAGAAGAAGGGTGGGAAAGAGGCTGCTGCAGTCTAAAATCCACTGGGGCGGGAGCAGTTATTGAGGCTCTAGGTCAGTGGGTCTCACATTGTGGTTCACCAGACCAGTAAAGTAGCATCAACATCACTTAGTAATCTGTTAGAAATGCTAACTCTCTAGTTCAGGGGTATCTAACCTTCTGGCATTTCTGGGCCACACTGGAAGAAGAGTTGCCTTGGGCCACACATTAAATACATAAACACTAACGAAAACTGATGAGCAAAAAAAAGGTTTTAAGTAAATTTATGATTTTGTGTTGGGCCACATTCATAGCCATTCTGGGCCGCATGTGGACTATGGGCCTCAGGTTGGACACACCTGCTAGTCCTACCCCAGATGTCCTGAATCAGAAGCTCTTGGGATGGATTCCAGCAAACTGTGTTAACATCCCTCCAGGTGATTCTGGTGCTTGATAAAATTTTAGAAACCCTGCTAGAGGTAGCCCCAGCTACTGAAATTGTTCTTCCTGGCTCCAGTGTCCAGAACTTTTGAAGTATAGCCCTCCCCTACACCCCACTGCACTTCCTGACACTCTGCCACCGTGACAGGGCCATTTACACATTTCTTTGGGTCCATCAGAAAAAAAAACACAACAAAAAAACAAACAAAAACCCTTGTGGACTTCCCTTTAGTCTTTCAGCTGCCATAGTAACCCATCCTACACATACCATATAAATCAGAAAGAAAGAAAAAAATTGTACATATAAAATTTGTGCATCAAGATTGAGGGGTAGGTACTTTTATTTCCATTTTATTGAGACTCAGTGAGATTAAGTAATTTGCTCCCAGTAGGAAAAAAAAGGTGGGGGTG